ATCAGTATCGGCCGGTATCAGTATCGCCAGTTTTCGATCCCACACGGTCATTAGCATTAGCATTAGCGTCTCCTAACCATTAAGTTGTTTTCAGAGTAAATGCCTTTTCAATAAGAGTCTGACAACTCAGTAAGTAGGCTAAATAACTTTAAACTTCAGTAGATGCTCTGATAGGCCGGTATCGGTATCGCCAGTTTTTGATCCCACATTAGCATTAGCATCTCCTAACCCACAGGTTTGTGTCCTAACCATTAAGTTGTTATTAAGTAATTAAGTTATAACTTTAATACATGCTCTGATAGGCCGGAATCAGTGTCGCCAGTTTTCGATCCCAAACGAGCATTAGCATTAGCATCAGCATTTCCTAACCCACAGGTCTGTGTCCTAACCATTAAGTTGTTATTAAGTATTTCATTTAAGTTATCACTTTAACACATGCTCTAATAGGCCGGTATCAGCTCGGATCTGGAGTTAAAAAACCCGAATCTTGTCGTCCCTTCCCCCAGGTGCCGGCGTCGGAGGAGCGGCTGAACGTTTGGGTGTCCTACAGCTCCTCGGCGGAGCCTCTGGACCGGGGCAGGATCGGGCAGCTGGTGCAGAGCCAGAGGAGGCAGACGGCGGCGGGCGTGGCCGAGGGGCTGTTCGCCGGGATGCCCGGGGACTGCGTGGTGCACGCCGTGAGGAGCAGCAAAGACCTGGGCTGCTCCTGGAGCTTCAGGGAGGAGCTGCACTACTGGGAGGAGCACAGGAACCTCTGGGTCTGCGTCCACTCCGCATAAACACAGGAACCTCTGGGTCTGCGTCCACTCCGCATAAACACAGGAACCTCTGGGTCTGCGTCCACTCCGCATAAAGGATCCCAAACCCCCCCAGTTTCACCCGTTTTTAGTTATCAGAATCAGAAATAATTTAACTCATTGACTGCCAGCCATTTTCAGAACAGATATTCCCATACTGCCAGAGTTTTTTTAGCATTTTGACTGATTTTTCAAGAGCCACAGAATAGTTTGTGCTATGACTATGTAAACACCGAACACACCAAAAGAAAGAGTAGACTCTCTTCTTTCATCAGGAAAAAACATTTTGTTTCTACCTTATTCCGTTCTTCCTGGACTTGCGTCTCACCGGCGACATGTTCTCTCATAGAACCGTTAGCTTTTTCTTATTTGCCTACAGTCTATGCTCATCTCCCATCAAAAGTGGCACTGCCCCCTAGAGGGTCAATTTGTTACTACATACTCTGTCTAGAAGCCCATATTTATGGACAAGCTTTAGCAGATCGTCCCCCAGCCACTCTCGTTGAAAAACATAAAAGACGTCAATAGACGTCTTTGGCAGCCAATGAGTTAATAATCCCAGAGGGAAATGGTTTTTGTCACTAACTCCAGAAATAAAACAACAGCATATACATATATACATATATATATTTACAAAATTCCACACAGAATATAAATAAATATATACATAAGTAACCAACCCCTCTTTGGTGATCAGAATCAGAAATACTTTAATAATCTGAAAGGGAAATTATTTTTCTTACTAACAAGTAAGAATAAAACAAAAGCATATACATATAATTCCAAATATACAAAATTCCACACCACAATATAGATAAATATATACATAAGTAACTATATGTATATATATATATAGGTCTAAAATAAGTGATAGTGATACTGTCAATAATTTAGTTAGAATTTACAGATAAATAGAATATGATTTTTTTTTTACAAATTCAAGACACAGCTATACACAGAGCATAAACTCACTACAAATTACACTATTACTTTATTCTGGCCCCCAAATAATATTTCGGCCCAATAAAAGAATTTCAGCCAAAAAAACTACGTTTTTACTATTTTAGTCATTTAAAAAAAATGTGGATTTTTAAAAAGAATTCAACACTTTTTAATAACTTTAAAAAAAAAAGAATGTGTTTTTTTGTCGTTTTGAACCCACAAAACACTCTTTTGGGGCCAGAATAAGAGCTATTCCTTTAGTTTTGCCGGTCTTAGACTAGAGTTTCTCAGCTTGGCGTTGCACATCCTGGAGATAGCCGCTGACTTCCGTCCAAAAGCAGGAAAATGTCAAAAATAACAGCGGCCCAAAGAAGACAGGAGTCGGACTCCTCTGGCCTAAAGAAGCCACCAGCTTTAACTCCCGTTTGCACATTTTACAGCGGTCTGCTGCCGCCTCTCTGTGCCTTAAACGAAACTCCCGAATCACCTCATGTGGGTTTGTCCCCATTTTCTGCAAACATGTTCCAGTTAGGTGCCAATTAACTCATTGACTGGCAGCCATTTTCAGAACAGAGTCCCATACTGCCAGAGTTTTTTGAGCATTTTGACTGATTTTTCTAGAGCCACAGAATAGTTTGTGCTATGACTATGTAAACATCGAACACAGCAAAAGAAAGAGTAGACTCTCTTCTTTCATCAGGAAAAATTTTTTTGTTTCTACCTTATTCCGTTGTTCTTCGATGTGCGTCTCACCGGCGACATGTTCTCTCATAGCGAACCATTGCGTTTTTATTTGCCTACAATCTATGCTAATCTCCCATCAAAAGTGGCACTGCCCCCTAGAGGCTCAATTTGTTATTACATACTCTGTCTAGAAGCCGATATTTACGGACAAGCTTTAGCAGATCGTCCCCCAGACACTCTCGTTGAAAAACATAAAAGACGTTTATAGACGTCTTTGGCAGCGAATGAGTTAAACTAGCTTATATTTTAAATTGTACAAAGAAAGAGAAGAAAGAAAGAAAAAACACATCTGTAGCTGAAAAGTGGTGTTTTCTAGGCTCTTTGTGTGTTTAAAGACGATTTAGAGGCGAACACACTGGGATATGAGCTGGTTGTGAGAGTCCAGCTGTGGGTTTGAGATTACAGGGGCCCTGGTTTGGATAAAAGTCCAAACCCCCGCCCAGACGAGGACGTCTTCACCAAACAGCCGCTCTGAATTTTGAATTTTTCACTCGTGGGACTCGGTGAGCTCGAAAAAAAAAGAAAAAAGAAAAAAACACAGCTTTACACAGAATTTTTCCAAAGTTTTTCCTTTGTTGTGACTTCAGTTTTGTGGCCTTTTGCTGCACTTTTCTGGGTTTGTGAAGAGTTCACTAATTTTTTTTGTCACTTATGGGTTTGGGGTCTATTTTATTTTGTTCTTTTTAGAATATTTTGATTCAAATATGTTCAAACTGACCTGGGATTTTGCACTATCTGGTCAGAGCCGAAGGATAGCAAAACACTTTGTGGCCTTCCTGTTATCTCCATGTTCCTCCTGTTCTGGTTATTTTCATATTGCTATCTTTGTAATGGAATTCCTTTGGCTAAATTATATATATTCAAAATGTATTTAATGTAAAAAATTCTTTAGCTTTTTCAAATTATGTGCATTTTCTAAGGCTGATGGGTATTCCACTGTTTCAAGTTCAATGTATTGTCTGTACACCAAATCAATATATGTAATATATCTCTAAATAAAGTTCTCAATGAGTCATTTTTTGTTATTAATTATATATTTTCTACTTCACAGTTGCAAATATCAGCTTTATAGAAGTGCACAACTCTGACTGCTGTGGGAAAGATCACATTTCTATCATAAAATAAAAGGTTTATTGCCATTATTTGTGCTTTATAATGAGATTAAAGGAGCAAAAAAGTTTAACTGTTGAAGACAAGTTTGAGTATAATGACAATATTAAAAAGTTTGATAAAAATGAAAATAATATGAAATGTTACGCTTAAGAAAATGAATCTGTTTAATAATTGCTTATAAAAGCAGAAATGGTTAAAAAAAATAGTTATATAATTATTTTCAAAGATATATTATTATTAAATCAAGTGAGGATGAAGTCCTGATGTTAGCATCTGGAAAAAAGCAGCTCCAGTCATTTTAGCGGATGTCAGTATATTTATAACTAAAAACACAATTAATTCTAACGTTCACACAACGTTTCCAATGGTTAAAAACTGCTTATACCATAATAATGTGTGTTAAAATTCTGCTTTTGTATGACAGCATTTCCAATTTTAGAAAGAAAAGAGGCAGAGAGGGGAGAGAAATGTTGGTTTCCAGCTCTGGAAACACCCCTGGTCCTCTATAATCATGTGGTTGTGGTTTTCTATCTTCGGCATACAAACACTCGTGTCCTGTTGTGTATCAGTGTCAAGTCATCAAGTCACTCAGGAAGAAACAAGTGCAACAACCATCATTTTTTTAAGGAGAACTTAAATTCCCACTACTACATATTTCTCATGCACAAGATTTAAACTCCTAAAAAGAGAACATCTGTATATAAAGATGCTTAAAAAGTTTAAATATCCTGGAATGGTAGCTTCAGTTATTCTGAGAGTAGAAATTGTCCACATCTAAGGCAGGAGACACACATTTTAATTAAATGTAGTAAATAAATGACTAAACCTTTGCCAAGTTTGTGAAGTGGAGGCTCAGACGAGCAAAAAATCATTTAAAACCTGGACTGACTTGTGCTCCGTTTAGGTTTTAATGTTAATCATTTGATGATGGTGTCTGGCCTTTTGCGGTTTGTTTGGAGACAAATTTATGATCAAGACAAAATGCTAACCGCTACATTAACCTTCTAGACTTAGCTTAAATTATATTAGCAAACTTTAGAATCATGTAAAAATAAGAAAATAGGTTTTGGGTTTATTCTTAAGCTTACTTTTCTACTTCATTACCAACATACTTTAGTATATCCACCAATTTCCACCCAATTCTGTTAGACAAATCATAAACAAACCAGAGAAATGCTAGCCCGCTCGCTAAGCTAACTAAAATGCAGTAAGCTTGATTATGCAGCCTACCTTTATCATATTTATATTGTTAATTATCTTTAAGCTAACTTTCATGCTTCATTATCAACATATTCTGATACATCCACCCATTTCCACTTTATTGTCTTATACAGGTCATTAACAAACCAGAGAAATGCTAGCTTGCTCGCTAAGCTAACTAAAATGCAGTTAGCTTGATTATGCAGTCTACCTTTATCATAATGATATTATTAATTATCTTTAAGCTAACTTTCATGCTTCATCATCAACATATTCTGGTACATCCACCCATTTCCATCTAATTGTCTTATACAGGTCATAAAAAAAACAGAGAAATGCTAGCTTGCTCGCTAAGCTAACTAAAATGCAGTTAGCTTGATTATGCAGTCTACCTTTATCATAGTGATATTATTAATTATCTGTAAGCTAACTTTCATGTTTCATTATCAACATATTCTGATACATCAACCTTATTGTCTTTTACAGGTCATAAACAAACCAGAGAAATACTAGCTTGCTCGCTAAGCTAAATATAGATGTTGTTAGCTTGGTTATGCAGACCGCTTTTATCATATGAATATATTTGCATATTTGAATTATATAGAACTTTAATAAATTATGTTTAATGTAAACAGAATTATGAACTACCAGACTCAGGACAGAAAAGTTAAGTTATTTGAGTGGATCCCACGGTGTTTAAGGGGAAGAAAAACGTATTTTCTTTCAAATGTAGGCCTTGGTGTTTTTACCTGCTTTGTTACTAAAGTGTGTATGAATAGTATAGCTGCTCCCAACTTTTTCTAACTGGTGCAATTATCCAACTGATGGTTCCAAACGTTTTATTACAGGATTTTCCGTCATACAAACGGCCAAACCCACCGTGAACGCGGCAAAATACGCGGTGGAAAATATTCATCAGTGAAACCGTCATGTTCCCTTATGAAAATTATCAACTGAAACTTATTAAACAAAATATAAATTCT